TGGGAGGGAGGGGGTGATAGGATTCCCTTGTCCTGAGTCCACGTGCTGTTTATTGTGAGCATGAGGTATCTCAGTTTGTCTTGCTGTTTGTTTTCAGGGGACAATTTATTTTTAATATAACTCACAGGAATTTTTTACTTGTCATTAGTTCATATCTTGTCTTCCTTGTGAGCATTTTGGGTAGGAACATTCAGCACTGATTTGGTGTTTCCTATGTCCATTTCACGTAGAGAGAAATGGAAGAACTTGTCATATGCAAAGAAATAATAGCTATAACCACTTGAGCCACATCATGGGGGCCTTGATTCCTGCAAAAGCAGGTTGTTAAAACTCTTCTTGCCTTAGAAGGCTTCTCCACCCAAAACAGCGAGTACTATTGCCTAGGATGCTTTTATTTCTTTTTTTTCTTTTTTTTTATTCCCACGTCTCTCATTCCTTCTAAACCATACTACAGTTGCTTGGGAAACAGATTTTTGATCTAGCCTTCCAGCACTAAAAAAGATGAGCTGCTGCCACTATGCCTCCTCTTCAGGAGGTCTTTGCTTCTACTTCTTGGGCTTGAAAAAATGAAACTCCCTCAGAATAAGTAGCAAAGATATTTAAAATGGAGATGTCTGCTGTGTGATCTCATACACTCTCATGAGGATGTTGAGTGATACTTTGCATAGCATGGAATACAATCCTCCACTTTCCTGTTGTGGACAATTTAGTAAATGTAGCAGGGAACAGGTCACTCTTGTAGGAAAGCCCAGGAGCTGTTTGTTATGGAGACTGTGCCCAGATTTTATCTTTGCTTTCATTTTTCCTTTCTGCACATACTTAAATAAATAGAGCCAAAGTTGTAGTATAGGGAGGAAAAGTTATGCACCTCACAGGGCAAGGAATTTAAACTGTCAGGCTGAAAGGCTTCTTGTAGGAATGGCTAAAAGAAGATTGCTTTGCCTACTTTGACATCACATCCATGCAATGCTCTGCAATAAAAGCTAATCCAGCTATGGCCACAAAGTTAAGAAACTGTTGGCATTTGCCAATAGGACAATCTCCTTCCAGGGTCCAGTTCTGCTGTGGCAAAGCTTCCACTGACTCCAGTAAGAACTGGCAGAGGTCCTTAATCTCTTAATCTTAAGGAAATAGAAAGTGTTTCTTAAACAAGTCTTCCTTTTTTTCTTTTTTTTTTTCCTTTTTTATTTTTTCCAGATTAATGTTATTCAGGTGTTTGTGCAGTCTTTTATATTACTGTGGTAGTGTTTTCACTGATCTGAATGCAAAACATGTCTTTTCATTGTTTTTCATCTTAACAAGCTGCACTCCTGCACATAACTCCAGTGCTCAGCATGTTTAAATTACAGCTAACACAATCACTGCCTTCCTTAATTTAACTCTTGATGGCAAAAACAGGACCAGATTCTTTCCAGAGCTCTAAACCCCCTGCTTATTTTGTCATTGTTCACGTTTTTGATATGGTAACTAAAGAAGCCTCCCTTTAATTATTGCACAGCCACATTTTAAATGTGTCATTAGGGAGAAGGTATGTGGGGACTTACGGTAAGAATGGTAAGATCTTTAACCAATTTTTATTATTTTGGATGATGTTGCATCAAAACAGTTGCTAAATCAGTATCAGGTTGTTTCCATGGGCTTTTTCTACAGATACATTGGAAGCTTTGAACATAATATTCTCGTAAAAGAAAATTGGTTTTATATGCTTTGAATTAAGGCTGACCTTAAAATATAACTCTTGGTTAATGGCAGCAGAGGGGAAGGCATGTCCCAAATCGCCTTCAGCCTGTGGACTGGGGGAGCAAGGCATCCCAAGCCACCAGCAGAATTGGCAGAATTTGCTGTCTGATGTCACCTTGTGGTGCCAGCAGAGGGGTGCAAGGTGTTGCCATGTGGAGGTGTCAGCCCTGGACAGCAGCAGGAAAAGGCAGGGATAGTGGTGCTGTGCTGGGGTGGGAGGGCATCTGGGAGATGGGCTGAAAGCAAGGCCTGGACCTCTTGTCCTTGTGGAAAAAGAGTTACACATATGCCTAAAAAACCTGTATGCTTTCTTTCTTGCACTGGTGCTGGGGTTGCTGTGTTACACTGGGGGAGGAGCCAGTGTGAGTTCAAGTGTGCTGAAGCCAGTGCTCCTGCAGGTGGACTACTGTGTTACTGCTCTCATCAACACCTGAGCAGTGCCCAGTGTCTTAGTTTCTAAAGGCAGTTTCAGCACAGAAACATCCATAAATCCCCTGTAGCCCAGAACTGGTCTATGGCATCTTGCCGCTCTTCCACCCTCATTTTGCCAGGAAGATGCAAAGACCCAAGCCCTAGGCAGAGTGGTGAGCTCTGGCTGCACCCTTACAGCCCAAGGACAAGTGAGGAGGGAGTGTAAGACTCACTGTGCAGCAGCACCAGGTACTGAGCAACATTATCCTGCTTTACTAAAGGGGGAGCAAGACTAAAGCTGTTGCTTTTTTGTGAAATTAAATGAAATCCTCTACCGTGGGTGAAATTGAAACAGCTAGACTGTTCCAATAGCTAGACTCGTTCCACCAGTAATCTGTATGTGCTGAGGGTTTTTATTGAGTGAGGATCCCATAACTTGGTTCCATCTGAATTTTCCCTGCTCTGTTTGTTAATAGACACTGTCCCAGAAAAGTTCTGATGTTGAAGCCTGGTGTTGTGGCCCTGTTGAAATAGGAGATGAGGTATGAAAGTGGGTGATGGGAAATACAATAAACCCAGAAAATACAGCATGGCTTTAGTTATTTATGACAGCCCATTTCTGCTTAAACATCATGGTGTGCCTGAGAAAAGGGTAGCAGGACTGCATCAGACAAACCAAT